CTACAGCCTCCACACCCGCGACCCTGGACCCTATAAGTCTGTACCCTGTACTCCAGACCTAGACTCGGCTTATCTTCTATCAAATCGAGCCCAGACTTTGTGTATTCTGAGGCATTTACGTGGAGGTGGGAGATTTCGAGCAGCTAAACGGGCGAGTGGCTTTCGATCACTGCCATGCCACCATGGGACCGGGAGGGGGGCTCCATCTGGCAGAAGGCGGTACACCGAAGCTGGAGTTAAGGAACCACTGGGTTAGTAGGCTGTAGACCCATGTGGGTTTAGGTGTTTCGTGTCAAAACGCCCGGCGGCCAGAGGCTGTAGCGTGCGGTGCTTGGGATGGCCGCTTTGGTGGCGCTAATCAGAAAGACAGCTGTAGGAAACGTAATATTAATTTTTTTTCTGGACCCTGAGAGGCTCGGTCAAGCAGACGGCCGGCAGGTTGGAGTTTTCCAGATGCCGCAGCCGGGCGGATGGTGGTGGTTTCGCCGTGAAGGGGCAGGTGCTAAACCCTGAATCCTACCCCCCAAGAGAAGAGCCCTTTCAAGATAAATCGAAGCTAATCTCCCTTGCAAATTATGCAGGGGCGAGTTGTGAATCTCGGCTGAAAAATAGATTGGCCATCTCAAAAACAAGACCTTGTAGTTTCAAGTCGTGCTTCTCACATATCTTAGACAGGAATAGCAGGTAAGACACGTAGATATAGGGATACCTAGACGAGCACTAAGTCCCCGGCAGCGATAAAACAGAATCTAAGGCAGCAATTGCTGTTTCCGGCACATGGGGTCCGAATCCTCCACCACGCTTAAACCACCCTGACTCGAGCTCCTTGTAGCGTAGGCGCATAGCAACTCAATTGATGCCGCCAAGAATGGAGGCCATATTGGCTCTGACACATCCAATCTCGCACAGCAGGTGTGGGTTGCGGATGTCTTGCAAGCAGTGGACTGCAGCTCAACCGCCGGAGGCTAGTTCCGGAGTTTGAAGGGCCGTTTAAGCCTCTCACCAACCTGCTCGTGGATCGTTCGTTGCTTGCCAGGCACAAGATGTCTTGCTTCTCTTCTCTTGGTCTGATGTGCTGTGAAGTGAGCAGTGCAGAGCCAGTGTGTCCCTCTCTGTGAGGTGGGGGTGGCTCTGTGGATGGCAGCTTCTACCAGGAGGAGCCCTGGTCGCCGTTCGTAGGCCCGAAACCATCGGGCTATGGGCTGTGGAGGATTAGGCTTCTCTGTCAGATGTTTATGCCAGAAAACGTTTGTATAGACCGGAAAGCATTTACAGCCGAAGCCTTATCAAGCTAGTAGTCGACTCTTTCCCTGGCTCTTCTGCTTTTGAGCTCGTGAACCCTGATGGCAGGTGCTGGGGACGAAGGAGATTTCTGGCAGGATTCAGGGGAGGATCCAGGGCAGCTACGTTTCCGAGGCTGCAAGAGCGAGCTTGATGGAGGCGGTCTTCAAGTGCGTGGGCGCTTTGAGCAGTCGAGCGGATCTGCGCATTTCGTGGATTGCTCCGCCAAGCGCTCCGGAGGCCCGGAGAGCTGAGGGCCCTCGACCCTGAAAGAGGGCTCTGAGTTTAGGCGCATGGGTCACAACGATGCTTATCCGACGCAATGCAAGGCTGCCTGAATGTCGAGAAGGGGGCCAGCTGGCACGGACATGGCGAGTTCGTGAAGTGCAAGGCTGGGAAGAAGGCGAAGCAGAAGATGACGCGGCTAGGCTCGCTTCGTCACGTCTGGGATGAAATGCTACGGCTAAGATTTCCGTTTAGAGATTTATTGTCCTGCCAAGGCTAACGGCTAGTTCTGTTCTTCGGTCACTCTGACCGAGGGTTTCCATCTTCGGGGTTAGCGGCATTGCAACGCACGGTTGAAGCTCAAGGGCATGCCGTCTCGCCACCCCGACAGCAGGTCAGAAATCGATCCAAGCATCTTCCCACACACAGCCCAGCACCCAATCAGCAAGTATTCCTTAAGTTGTTTATGGCTTCTTTCCTAATTAGGGTCGAGATAGCCGTAGTTGAAACGTATTTGGGCTTTGTGGATTTTAGTTCTTACACGGTAAGTTGCACGACAAGTTTGATGGCAGAGAACCGGTAAGGGCCCCACATGCATCCCGATGATCAAAGCCTTTTTTTGGCAGGAGTCCATTTTTGTTGTCATAGCAAGAGCCTACCTGAGGCAAGCCCTCGGCCCTAAACCCGAAGCCCACCCGAGAAAGAAAGAGGCACCTACCCCCAAACCCTGTCCGCGGCCCGAAGACTGAAGGTATCCTACCAAACATTTGCCCACTTTTTGTGCAGTCTCGTGATGGGCTCCGGACGCAGGATGCAGATTGCTACTGTTGGTGTTCATGTTTGCGGTTACGGAATTCAAGCTCAGGTGTCAGATTCTGTTAGGTTTTGGATTCGATTGAGGTCGGAGGTACCGGAGAATGTAACATCGTAGGTGTTTGTGGTAGATCCCAATCTCAAATGACATTTACCTGGCAGGCAGGATCCAGTCTG